GATGTGCAGGGCGGGGCTGTTGTTCTCGCGGACCCGCAGGGTGTAGGAGGTTTGGGTGAAGGCGGGGGCGTTGTCATTGACGTCGGAGACCAGCACGGTTATGCTGTGCTCGGTTTTCAGCCTGGGGGATCCCATGTCGGTGACGGTGATGGTGATGTTGTACTCGGCTCTGCTCTCTCTATCCAGCGCTCCTTCTGTTACCAAGGTGTAGAAATTCTTGAAAGTTGGTTTTAGAATGAATGGCAGATTATCTGGAATAGAGCAAATCATCTTTCCATTGTCTCCAGAATCTCTATCTCGAATTCGGAAGATAGAAACTACGGTCTCAGGAGCGTTTTCTGGGATGGAGCTGGTGAGTGAAGATATGGTCAGTTCAGGGGCGTTGTCGTTCACATCCACCACCTCTATGACTACAGTGCCTTTTCCAGAAAGGCCTCCTCCATCTGTAGCCTCAATTTCCACTTGGTAAGATTTAATTTGTTCGAAATCCAATTTTTTTGTCAGTCTGATTTCTCCTGTGACTTCATTTATTGAGAAAGTTTGTTTAATTTCGTCTGATGCTTGGAACAAGCCGTAGGAAACACTCCCGAAGCTTCCAGCGTCTACATCCCTAGCTAAAACAGTAAGTACTGGGGAGTCTAGGGGGCTGTTTTCCAGGACCTGCGCCTCATATGGAGTGTGCACAAACTCAGGAGCATTGTCATTGACGTCCATGATCAGGATTCTCACCATGGTGGTGCCAGATCTGGGTGGAGCCCCGCCGTCCAGCGCCATGAGGGTCAAGCTGAACTCAGGCTGCTCCTCTCGATCCAGCGCTTTGTCCTGCACCAAATCTGGGTATTTCTTGCCCTCACTATGATTTCGAGTGAGAACGCGAAAATGAGAATTGGGGCTGATAGTGTATTTTTGAAGACCATTACTGCCCACATCCAAATCCTGAGCTAATTTCAACGGAAATATAGCCCCTGGCTGGCTGTTTTCTGGTATTTTCAAGAGAATTTCCCTATTCGGGAATATTGGGGAGTGGTCATTTATGTCCTGGATTGATAATTCTCCATCAAAAAATTGCACCGGCGTTTCCAGGAACACTTGGAAATGCAGTACACACGGTTCAATGGGGCCACATAGCTCCTCCCGGTCTAGTTTCTCCCTCAAAAGCAAATCTCCCGTCTGACGATCCAGCTGCAAGCGCTGCTTGTCATCGTCACACACCACCCGGGCCGACCGGGCGGCCAGTTCCCCAATTCCCAGGCCCAGATCCCTGGTCAGATGGGCTACAAAGGAGCCGCTCTCTGTTTCTTCCAGCACAGAATAACGAATAGGCTCGGGGCGAGTCTGAGACAAGAACACCATCAAAATAAAGGCCATCACTTGCCTGTTTGGTTGAATTCTCTCTAGCGTCTCCATATTGGAATCCGGGTTCTTTCATTCAATCCCTTCAGCAAACACGAAAAGACTCGAGATATTCAATTCTGAATTCTTGCTTAGTGGAATCCTCACAGAGTTGCTTTTAATTCTAACGTCTTTGAGTATACCGCTGCCCAAACTCGTTGGTAAGCTAGTATTGCTGGCAAAGCTTCTATGGTGTGTTTTTGGTTCCGTCTTGCAACAAAGGAATACGCAAGCTTTTTAGGGCTCTTTATTCACAATCTTAGCCTGCAGCGCCACCCTGCGTCTTGACTGAGAAATTAATCTTCTGAAGTCGAAGCATATTTTGGAAGCGTCCAAATGTAAGCCATTTTTTAAAGTGTATAGAACTTTTAAAAACTTTTTCATTCCATCAAATTGCATAATTTATAAGGTTATTCTATTACATTGCATGACCTAGAATAATTGTGAGCACAGAGCAAGAGGATATCTCCATCTCCCCACACTCTTGTCAGTGGAACTTCAAAGAATTCCATTTCCCCTTTGCATAATCTAACCAGGGGAGATAAACTCATAAAATTACAATTCATGATAGTTGTAGCTGTTTATTTCCAAGTATGTGAGGAATTTATGATGATGCAAAAGTTTGTTAAGGTGTTCTGTACCAAATGGTGTCAGGGAGACGATTTTTCAAAGGAAAGGTTCTATTTTCCCACACTGATGTGCAAATAGTAATACAGCTTAATGAAGAGGCATCTTACTTTGTTATAAGTTCTTTTACAGTATGAACCTACATTAAATTTAGAAGGAAGTCAAATAGTATTAGAATCAGATTCTTAGCCCTGGAGAGGAAATGAAAGAGGTTTTACAGATCAGAAAACAAAGCTCAGAGGGTGATAGGACTTGATTATTCTACTTGACTATTATCAGGATAATATCAAGACAAAATCCAGTGAGTAAAAATCATAGAATTTTGTTAAGATAAAAACTTTAAGCTTAAGTTTATTTAGCTAGATAGATATCTATATTTTATAATGAGTTAACTTCTTAGCACATTCATCCTTTCTAACCCAGATATCACATTCCTCGACCAGCTGGTTTGGGGAAAAACAAGAAGGCCTGATTTAAACATTTTAGTCGGTGACTAAAGGGTGCCTCAGGGCTTGTCTGCTCATATATAGTGAAGAGGAGAGACTTGTTTATAACATGAATTCCAGCACAGTGTCCAGCTGTTGTGATTGCCTTCATACAGTAAGTTAACTGAGACCAGCCATTTTTGGGGAGTACAATTAGTATATTGAATGGAGTACCATGTATCTTGGCACATATGGGATTTCCTCTCCTTAAAAATCTTGTAATTTAGTTTAATTAATCAACTTAATAAATTATCATATATAATTAATGTTAAATGAATTATTTTAAAAGCATTTCAATAATATTAGATTCTGATAGTGATAGAAAGTATAAGGAAAAATTACTTCGAAAGAAGCCTGGATATAGTAGTCATTCAATAACTATAAGTTGAATAAATAAGTTAATTAATCCACTGTAATGATTATGTTTCTACCCATAAAAGAAGATTTTTGTCAGATTATATATTCAGCCATGAACATGTCTGAATCTGAATACAGATTTCTGAGAGATGAGAGTATAATGCATGCTAAACACTACTCAATTAAATTTACTTTGATTCCAGTTCTATTAATTAACTCCTGTAAGAGATTTAGCAATGGCAATAATAATATTAATACACTTTAGTATTTTCTTTCACATTTAAGGCAAATCAGAGGAGATACAATATGTATCAACATTAAGTAAAATAAAAAATAATAAATAACATATACCAAAAAGAATAAAAAGAAAGAATATTATTTTAGATATAAATGGAAAACAAATCAAGGCAAAATAAAGAGCAAATTGTTCATAATACGATAACCAAGTTCTAGTTAGGTTTAAGTTAAAGAGTTCAAAACAAAATTCAAACCATATTTTGTTTACTTATTCCTATATGTTGACATAGAAATAGTGTTGCAAATCAGCTCTTTTCAGTTCCTTTTGTCAATCCAAAGCAAATGAAATCTAGATAATATTAACATATATGTGCCACTATATGTCAGATACTATTCTAAGCATTTTACATATATTAACTCATTTTATCCTCCAAACAACCCCATGAGGTTGGTGCTCTTATTAACCACATTTTATAGACGAAGAAATTGAGGCACAGAGAATTTAAATAACCTGCCCATAGTCACACAGCATGTGAAATGGCAGAGCTAGGATTAAAACTGTTACAGTGGCTCCAGAATCCATTCTCTTATCTATCCAGGTGGAATTGGAGAGGTGAACAACTTTTTAGATAATTTAGATCCAAACTTCAGCCTTGCCTTGAGTACACAGATATCATAGATCAACTATATTTGTATTCAAATTTTCAATTAATATAAGAACCTTTAAAATGGTTTGCCTCCCTGTAGAGATAGGTACCAGCAAAGAGAGGTACTTACAAAACTTAGAAATTGGAAGGAAAACTAACAGTGTTTTGTTGAGATCATTAATTAGGTAAAAAAAAATTTGAGTGACATAGTGAATTCCTTGTAACCTCAAATATTGAGGGGAAAAAAGCTGTGTATAGATTTTTTTAAATGTTATCAGGATGTAAAGTTAAAATCTAGAAGGTTGGCCAAAAGGATAGTCTAACATATTATATCATGGATTATTCCCCCAAACTGCCAAACTTATCAGAAAAACAATCTACTATCTTCATAGAAGAGGAGTTAATGATATAAAGAATGATCACCTGAAAAACCATTCCATTCCAGTCAGCAAAGGTGCAGATCCATTCTGAAAGCTTCATACAACAATTCACACAATTGGTTGCCAGACCTGAAGCATGATATTTAAGATATTCTTTCCATTTTGAATATACAAAGAGAGATAGAATAGTTAGAGGGGTACTCCAGAAATTAAATAACTGTTTTAATTCCTCCCTGGTAAAATATAGGCAAGAACTTCAATATCATTGAAGAAAAGATAAAAATCATATTAAAGGAATTTGAATACAGGTAGTCCTAAAGTTCAAAACGCTAAATCTGTACTTCCAAGTTTTGAATAGTCTCATTTGTTTGAAAAAGAGGTGAGAGAATGTTTTTTAAACTTCATGATGACTCAAGGGCTGTTTTGTTCCTAACTTGAAGGGGGAAAGTAGAAGGAGATTAAACATTAATTGTTGAGAAAAGAGAGATAAATTGGTGAAATAGGTGTTAGATTGTAACTAGTATTTTTAATTCCTTAAATAATAATTCAAATAGTATTATTTCAAAATATTAAGCTAACATTAATAATTGGTTAATATCAATGGTTTGCAGCTTTTATTAGAAATTCTTATAAAAAGAATTATCTTTTGGAATTTTCTACTAAATAGATAAAGTAGATACATCAGCTGGCCATTTGAATAAAATAACTGTAAAGCAAACAATACTGCTTACTGGTGAAACCAAACTAAAATTTACTATCAGCCAACCTTCCAAACTAAACTTATAAGATGTTTTTAAAAATCACACTCATTGAAATGCAGATTTAGAAAGGAGATTTTGAATAATTACAGAGTTTAGCTTGAGAAATTTGTTATGGAATCTAAGATAATTTCTAATTATTCCTTATAGCACATATTAAGTAAAAAGATAGTATGAATATGTTTAATGTATCAAAATATTCAAATATCTAATGTCTAACTTATATCTTTAAAATCAGGAAGTGTGATTCCTCCAACGTTGTTGTTCTTTTTCAAGATTGTTTTGGCTATTCTTCATCCCTTTCATTTCCGTAGGAATTTTAGGGTCAATTTGCCAATTTCTGCAAAAAAAAGCTAGTTGGGATTTTGAGAGGGCTTCTATTGAATCTGTAGACCAATTTGGGGTGTATCACTATCTTAATATTAAGTCTTCCAATCCATGAACACTTTCTATTTACTTAAGTCTTCTTTAATTTCTTTCAGTGATATTTTGTAGTGTTCAGTGTATAAGTCTTGCACTTATTTTGTTAAATTTATTTGCAAGTATTTTATTCTTTTTGATGCTGTCATAAATGGAATTGTTTTCTTCATTTCATTTTTGGATTGTCCAATGCTGGTGTGTAGAAATACAACTGATTTTTGTATATTGATCTTGTATACTCCAACCTTGCTGAATTCCTTTATTAATTTTAGTAGTTTTTTTGTGGATTCCTTAGGATTTTTTTTGTGCATGATCACGTCATCTGCAAATATACTTTTACTTCTTCATCTTCAATCTGGATTATTTTATTTCTTTTTCTTGCCTAATTGCCCTGGCTAGAACTTCCAGTACGATGTCCAGTGAAGGGGGACATCCTTGTTTTGTTCCTGATCTTAGGGGGAAAGGTTTCAGTCTTTCATTATTAAATCTGAAGTTAGCTGTGAGTTTTTATCATTGCCGTTTATCAGGTTGAGGACATTCCCTATTATTCCTAGTTTGTTGAGTGTTCTTATCGTGAAAAGGTGTTGAATTTTGCAAAATGCTTTTTCTGCATTTATTGAGATGGTTGTATGGTTTTCTCCTTTTCTGTTAATATGGTGTATTGCACTGATTGATTTTCATATGTTAAACCAACCTTGCATTTCTGGGACAAATCCCACTTGGTCACAGTGCATAATTCTTTTTATATGTTGCTGGAGTCAGTTTGCTAATATTTTGTTGAGAATTTTGCATCTATATTCATAAGGGATATTGGTATTTAGTTTTCTTTTTGTGAAATATTATTATGTTATATTTGTCTGGTTTTGGCATCAGGGTAATACTGGCCTCATAGTGAACTGGGAAGTGGTCCCTGCTCCTCTTTTAAAACAAGTTTGTGAAGGATTGGTGTTAATTCTTTAAACATTTGGTGGAATTCACCAGTGAAGCCATCTAGTGCTGAGCTATTCTTTGTGGAAGGTTTTTTGATTACTGATTAAATCTTGTTTAATAAGATGAGACATTCAGGATGAAGAAATCCATTTCCCCAGAGATACAGAAATTTAAGCAAAAAAAAAAAACCTCAAAATGACAATATTTAGAGAATACAATTTTAATTTTTGATAAACCCCAAATTGTTCTAGAAGTCTAGTGTCTCATCAAAGACTTTCCTTGTGGATATCCCATATTAGTTGGAGACAATTGACCTCAGAAATCTGACCCCATTTGTCTCTAATATTCCAGTTAGAAACATCTCACATTAATAGTTCTGTAACTAAATCCCAGTAATGTTGATATTCTCAAAATGCTTGGAAAATGGCCGTATTGAGCAGCAGTCCACT